AGCGTGCGTATATCGTTTAGCGTATATCGTTTTGCGTGCGTCTACGTAGAAGGTTTCGTAAAGCGTGAGTGTAACGTTCGTTCGTATAGCGTGTAACGTGCGTGCGTTTTTTCCGAAGCGTGCGTTTTGCGTGTAAACTGAAACGTTCACCCTACTGTATTTGCACAGAAATAAGCCTATAGTGGGATATATTGACAAATTACAAAGGAAATACAAACAATAATCGGATCAAAATAAGGATCCAATTTTAGGATCAGGATCGATATTTTGATCAACTGTAAAACGTCCATAACTTCTAAACAACAACAACAACAACAACAACAACAACAAAAAACAGCAACAACAACAACAAAAAAACAACAACAATACATTTATTTTAAAATTTCATTAACATTACATCCAATTCTACTAATCAATATTAAATATTAATTCAATAACTTAAGGATAGACCATGGAAAATATTTGAGTTTTTAATTTTTATCCTGATCTTGATCCTGATCCTTAAATCTTAATGAACACTGGGCGTGCAGACCCATATTCAAACATGAAAATAACCAGTTTGACATATTTCTAGGAAATTTGTTGTAATTTCTATGGTGTTACCTAGGTTTTTCAATATTTAAGCTCTATGACCTAGTTTTTGACCGTAGATGATCCATAATATAAATTTAGCCACTCAACTTCTAACAAAGTAGCTGAAAATGTTACTTCTAGAGTGTTGATAATATATTTTGTACCAGATTCGATCTATATGACCTTTTAAAAATTCTAAATGACACATAATTGAACTTGAGCTACGAATCATTCGCACAACTTTGTAATTACAAATTCCCATGATATCAACACATTAATGCCAAAATGGTATTTGTAGAGTGTTAACAACTTTTGTTTCCATAATTGGGCTGTATGAGCTACGTTTTGACCGAAGGTTACCCATTTTCTATTCAATCAACAACGTTTTTTACTACGCGGGGTGTTAAAATATATGTGTATCTAAGCTAATATGTCGCTTTTAACCACATTGCGTACGAACTATATACATGTATCGCATAGTTGTGTTGTGTAAGCTCTCAATGGATACAATACATGTGTACATCAGTTCAGTCTAGTTTTTACAACGAGTCCATTAACGCCATCTGCATACTGTACACTAAAACTAAAATGGGAAAAGGTCTCCTTTCACTGACCAAAAACAGTCCTATATCAAAAACCGCTGTATTCATGGTATGCAGGCGAAAGACATTTTTTTAATGAAATATGTCGTGTTAATGGGAACCTTTCTTTTTCACCTGTTACAAAGTGGTGTAAGATATTTAAAAGTGATGACGATTCAATTAGAGATACACCCGAAAGCTGCTACTTTGCCAAATAGGGTTGAAAAAGTAAATGATTTGATTGCTACTGATACAAAATTTACAACTAGGTATACAACTAAAAGCGTTTGTATCTCTGTAGGAGACACTAAAACAGTTCTCAGACGTGATTTAAAATGAGAAGAATGAGTGCCAGATCTCCCCACAAAAGAGCAAACACTTGCTTGGGTTAGAATCGCAAAACAATTGATTGTTGAAACAGTTCCCTAACTATAATAATCACTGACGAGAATACATGGGTTTACTTTTATAAGATCAAACGAATGATACATAACAAAATATGGGCAACTGAAGGAAGACAAAGACCTTGCATAGCAAAACGCACCATGAGTGTCACAAAGGTCATGTGTGTAATTTTCTTTACCAATGAAGGTTCTTTTATTCAAATTGCCGTACCGAAGGGTAAATCTGTAATGGTAGGTTTTACAAAGGCAAGGTTCTTCTTAAATTAAAGAAAAATTTAAAAAAACATCGACCAGCAATTGGTATCCATGGTTTAAGGTTGTTGCACGACAATGCTTTGACACACAAAGCGGCCATTGTACGAGAATATCAGAAACAATAAACAGGTTGTCGAGCTTCCTCACACTCCTTATTCGCCAGATATTGCCCCTTGTGACTTCTTTCTATTTCCGAGGCTCAATAAACACTTTGCTGGAAGAAAATATCAAACGCGAAAATATCTCATTTTGGCTATTTTCCAGTGTTTGTGTTTGAACAGTATACCTCGAAAAGATTATGAAAACAAATTTAAAAATTTGATTAAGGCTAAAACACATGGTTGTGAGTATTTTGAAGGCTTGACAATAGCCTTTAGAGTATTTACAAGATGTGTTCTATCATTTTGGCCATGTGACCAGTTATTTCTGGGAAAAACATTCTGACTAACGTTTGTGGCAACTGAAACAAAATTTGATCACTAGAGTATTAACAAACTACGTTTGGAAGGACTTGGACCTACGACTGACTTTCATCGATCGTAAATAGCTATCTATGAGCCATCTCAGGTGAATATTTTGTCGTTGTCAACAATTAAAGTTTTACGTCCACGATCTCAAGTAAACTGTAAAAGCTTTATCTTTATTCTTATACAACTACGGAGTAATAGCGTTTATAAAGGACTAGTAACGCAAAAAGGCGTTATAACGACAAAAAGTGGTACTTAATGGAATAAAAGGAAGAAGTAGTAACGCAAAGAAGGCCTAGCAACACGAATAAAGGCGTAGTTACGCGAATAAAAACGTAGCAACGCGAATCTTAAAGAACAAAAACGTAATTCAAAAGGCTTAGTAACACGAATAAAGACGTTATAACGCGGATCAAAAGGCGTAAAAAGCGCAAATCAAAAGACGTAATGAGGCGAATAATGACGCTGTAACATGAACCAAAAGACATATAAACGCGAATCAAAATAAATGCTTATAAACGCGAATAAAGGTGATATAACGCGAACCATACGGCATTTTAACGCGAACTAAAGCATTATAACGGGAACCAAAAGGTGCAATAACTTGAGCCAAAAGGCGTTATAACGCAAAACAAAAGGCGTTATTACGCCAATTTGATACCATATTAATACAAATGGCCTAGTAATGTAATAACGGAATAAGAATGTTGATCCAAATTAATTGGTCATTGTGTGCGTTTTATTTCCAATTCTTTACGGGTATGTCGTTATGCCAAAAAATATAATAAACAAGATCAACAAGGAAAGGCGGCGTTCAATGAACGCAACCCCCATATGACCCAGCAACAAGAACTAATGGCAAGGAGCCCAGGCGGACCCCAAACATAAACAGGACAGGGCAACGACACGTTTAATCATTAAATGATAAATAATTTGTAACTGATTAGGAATTCAAAGAAAATAATAATAGGCCCACACAAAGGGGAAGGGGACCGCCTGGGGGGGAAGGGGGTGGGGAAAGGAGGGGGGGGGGTAATCAAAGAAATAAAAAACTAGAGGCAATGGGGAAGATACTTACCGTAGACGAGAAAACAACAAGGGACACAACAAAAGTGTCACCAAAACAGTATGAAACAACATAGACATACATCTGAGGAACACAGTGGGGCGCCGCCTTGGAACGGTCAGCATATAAGTCTTGATATTTGATATCTTATTAGGAAATACTTTCACCGAATTAGAAATTATCAATCACCAACAATAGGACTTTTAGCTAATTTGAACAGTCGTTTACTTACAAAGACCAAGAAGATAATGTCTCCTAAATATGACTTAACTTAAACACTATCACCCTTTATGGCGTACCAATCACATGAATAAGATGCACTTTCATCCTTATGTGACTTTCTTTTATTTTACGTTTTCCAGATATTTTTACCTATTGCCTTTCCTATAACCTAAATAGCAGACACAATCACAAAATTAGTAGTTACCCTCAGATATTTACATAATTATACAGGGTTGTCTGTAGATAATTGAACATATGACGCCGTATAAAATAAGATAAAGTAAGAAATTTATTAACTATATAGTGTAGCATCAGTGATGTAATACTTATGAATTCAGAGTTACTTTTGTAACTTCATTTACTGTAACTGCAGTCAGAAATGCTTTTATCCAGGTAAAAAAATTGCAAGTTTTTGTTTGAAAGTAGCCATATGTACGTCAGAAGTTCGATGTGAATATGTTCTGTAGTTGTTGTCGCGATTGCTTTTGCGCACAAAAATTGAAGTAGGAACTGTTAGTTTCAACGGGATGTAATGCTGTCTAAATACATGCAAGTGTTATTGACAGTCGTGCACAAAAGATAATTTATTTATGATCCTAAAACGATAACTACTCAGATCTTAAGATTGAATAAGATTGACCTGTCACATTTATTACAACCAGCATGCTATTATTCAAAAAGCCTAAAATTAAATGAAAATACATGCTTGAGTTATATACATTGGATAGTGTGATTAATGACATGACTGCATACTTTGAGAATTAAGATATATTAATTTTGACACGCACAGGAAGGTTTCTCTGTGCTGTTGTTTAGTACTTTACTCTTGTTGTCCTGTTTGATCAAACTTTATATGTTTGTTATATTTGCATTACAATCTTCTATTTTCAAATTAAAAGGATACTTTATACAAACTTAATTTCAAACTGACATTTTCATAGACACTGATTTGTGACCAGAATGTGATATATTTTACCTGTACCATATTATAATAGTAGGAATCCAGTAAGACAGTTCTGCAATTTTTTTTGTTTGTTTTTATTTGAATTTAAGTCACACAAAGACTTTTGAAGGTCAAACAGCGACTTTCCAGCAAAACAGGGGGAAGAAGACCTCAGGTAACCAATCCTTATTAGATATGGTAAAGTTACAATAGAAATATAACGTAAACTAGAAATTATAGCTATTCAAATAAACCGAAATCATGTTTTCTTTATTGTTGAACAAATAATAATGATATTTGTATAATGCCGGCACATAACAATGCATTATAATGTGAAACAGTACACATAATTATAGCAATTTCAACTGTTAAGTAATGCACTTTTCAGACTATGGTATTTCAAAACGTCGTTTGTAGTTGATTCAAAATTTTCTTTTGCAAAAAAATACCAAAAGATTATATGTGATCCATTTAGAATAGAAACATTACCTGTTGTAACATTAAAAGAAATTGTGTCTCTCTGTGTTCCATCGTCGCAAACAAATGTCAGATTTGCGTGAGAAAAATTCACTGAACTTATAGTGAGGTTGAATACCCCTGCAGTTTCATCAAAAGTGTATTGGAATGTATATGGTTTGTTTGGAGAAGGGCCACATGTCCCTAGAAAACAGTCGGCGTAGGGGACATTGTCAACATACCAAGTCATCTCATTATTATAAGAAGTTATTGTGCAAACGAGTTCCACTGTAGAGTCTATTAAATAAGTCGTCTTTCCATCAGATGTTTTAAGCGAAACATTTGCCTCTGAAAAAAATATTAATACAGCATGAATGAATATAAATGACTTTTTCTGTTTGAAATTCACAATTCAATAAATTATTCAGGTTTTAAAGTTGCATTCATTAAGACTATCATGACCACATGTATAAAACCTTTTAAAGACTTTTACATGGTTACATAGTTTAACAAAAACAGGACAGCTTGCCGCCTTATCATAGTGCGTGATTGTAAATCAAGAACCTGGAAAATGTCATTTTTAAGTGATAAAAAGGCCATGATTTTGTCAAGATCCTTGTTAGAATTACGGGCCATGGACATTGACCTATAAGGCTCTCAAAAAAGTATGTAAGTTTCAACCCATAATGTAAAGTCATTTTTGGTGGTAACAATTTTGACGCAAATACTCACCAAAGGTAACGTTCACAGGACGCAGCCCCTACACATCCACGCAGGGGGACCCAAAAGGCAATAAACCAAAACCGGGAGTGGACATAAGGGCGGCGAAAGGAGAGGAAGACGTATTTAAAATAATAAAAACTAAAACGGGCCCATATGGGACTAAAATGGATAAGACCTTTAAATTTGAAGGGGGGGGGGGGGGAAAGGGGGGAAGAGGGATGTGGTGAGAAAATACCTACCGTCAACGACAATCTAAGAAGACAGTCATCCCAAAAAACGCAAAGAAGACAACCAAGACAATCCATATTAATTTTACAAATGTCAAAATATAAAAATATGAGAAAAAAGATCAGCAAGAAGTTGACCCTAATTTGGTGACTCATACGATCCTCCTTTCATTTCCACAAGGTAGCTATGGGGAAAATAAAAAAAGTCGGCATGTACTAACTAAGCAATCGGAAACATTATCCTATTCTTTTACACATAAGCCTCGATTTAGTAAAACAACGTAGTCAATTATCACTAAACATATTTAAAATGGGATTCTTTGCTTAGTAGTTTTATCAAACTCTTCTGAATACCTTAGTGATCTTTTTTGGCGGAAGTCAGTACAGAAACTATTTTTAAACGTTTTACAACCTATACCCTGTAAATTATTGATAACAATCCAGGCACCAGTAAGGAAAATCGGTATTTCGTTTAATTCAAGTACAAATGCATGAATTACTTGGTCATTTGTCATTAATCGTTAATTTTTTTTCATAATATGAAACATAAATACTGTACATCGTTTATTAATGTCTCCAAATTATAACGTTATGATTTAAAGATTATTTTTGTTGCAATAAAATAATATTTATTAGATGTCAGATATCACTGGGTCATAAAGAGGTGTTACAGAATGTTTCCACCTATTGCAACACACTTAGGTGCAATAGTTGCTGTTATGCAATAATCTAGCATGAAACGATGAAGTCTAAAAGAGAAAGGCTTCGTTTCGGACATATGTTGAAGTGGCATATCATTTAATAATTAAATAATTAACATGACTTTGATACGACAATTTAAAATTATAATTATTTTTTTGTTTAAAGTCAAGTATTTACAAAGACATTAAAAAAAGTTATTTTCTATCAAGATTTGAGACATTTAATGCATAAAAATTAAATAAATAACTTTTTTTAAAGTTGGTTTAAATGAATTTATCGAAGTACGAGTGTCGTCTTAAAAGTGTATGAAATACAAAAAGTTGAGTAGAAAGAAGCTAGAGCTGAACATAAAACTATTACTTTTTGTGACTACATCCAATTGGTAATTATTTACTAGTTTTCTGTCATTATTAATTTTAAAACATAATAATACCTGACAACTATTGCATCACATTAAGTGACTCTATATGTACACCCGACTTTAGAGATTGCTTATTATTTTTTGTCAAAGAGATTTAATGTAAGTATATATTTAACTACAACGTTCTGCCAATATGCTCACTTGACTAATAATCAAATTGAAAACAGGTTATAGGTTATCTGGTCAAAACATTTTGATACAGTTTAAACTTTACTTTATTTTTTTGTTAGGTCACTGAAACAGACCAATCTTTAAAACAGCAAAGCTTACCCTGAATCTTATGTTAGCCAAAATCTGATTTTCTGATTTCATACAAAATTTTATCAAATTAGCAGAGAAGTGGTATGAAATCCAGTTGTAAAATCATGATTTCTGCAGCTAAATGATGAAAATTGTTGCAAATGGCTAACGGCAGGTCTAGTATATGTGTCATTATTATGCACTCTACCTTAAAATAGAAACTATAGAATTAAATTGTAAGAAAGAATGTTTTCCTACTGAGAGAAAGCAAAATATTAAAACAAGATTTAAGGCCTCAACAGACGTTAGGATATTGCAGTACAACACCACTTAAAACTAAATTGTACAAACAAATCTAAATGTGTGAAGGCTACTTTTTCTTGAATTTATACAATTGAATACTATATTTATAGGATAGGACATGTTCTCTCTCTTAATACAAGTTGCACAGATTTCCAACGATGACAGGTGACATATATCTCAATTATCCCCTAATAATGTGTTTAATGAATGAAATTCCAGAACAATAAGGGCTAAAAAGTAAACTTTGTAGTAAGATGGGGTAAAAATGATGTTGAAAAAATCGTCAGAAGGATGTTGAAATAATCGTCAAAAGGATGTTGAAATAATCGTCAGAAGGCCCACAGTTGTGGTATGTTCGAATCCCAAATTATTCAGAAATTGAAAATATCACAGCTATTCCTTAATAAGGCGAGGTAGTTTGTTAGCGGCCAGATAGCTCAGTTGGTTGATCCTCTGTATGGTATTCTAAGGGTCCCAGGTTCGATTTTTGATCGGGCTGCACATTTATATCAACCTGTGACAATTATAGACTTAAAAGAAGTAAAGTATGTAAGGGATCAATTGGGAACTGTTATTTTAGGGAACCTGATGATTCCTACAATGCAGAATTACAGTCTGAATGCAAAAATTGTTACGTATAGATTTTAAAATTGTACATCATATCTCTCATTAGTTTTGTACAACTAAATCCTTCCGTCTGTTGAGGCCTTTAGTGTGCATAGAGAGTGTCAAACATTAAGCCATTTCTGCCAAAAAGCTTATTATGATAAAAAAGTAGTAATACTAGGAGCATTTAAAACAAGAGGGCCATGATGGCCCTGGATCGCTCACTTGACACAACCGCATCCAAACAATGTCTTAAACAAGCATCATGGCCAAGTTCGATGACAACTGAGTCAAACATGTGACCTCTAGTGTGTTATAAAGATTTTTCCATATTTGGGCAATGTGACCTAATTTTTGACCGGACACGACCCATATTCAAAAAAGAAATCATCAAAACAACCTTCCTGACCAATTTCCAGGAAATTTGGATCAAAACTGCAGCCACTAGAGTTTTAAAAAGATTTTTTCTATTTTAAGCTCCTGTGACCTAGTTTTTGACCGGACATGACCAATCTTAGCACTTGACCCAGAAAACATCAAAACAACCTTCTGACAAATTTCCAGAAGATTTGAATCAAAACTGCAGCCACTAGAGTGTAACCAAGCTTTTTCTATTTTTAGCTCCTGTGACCTAGTTTTTGACCTGAGATGACCCATCTTCGAACTTGATCCAGAAATCATCAAAATAACCTTCCTGACAAATTTCCAGAATATTTGAATCAATACTGCAGCCACTAGATTGTTTACAAGCCTTTTTCTATTTTTAGCTCCTGTGACCTAGTTTTTGACCGGAGATAACCCATCTTCGAACTTGACCTACAAATCATTAAAACAACCTTCCTGACAAATTTCCTGAATTTTTGGATGAAAACTGCAGCCCCTAATGTGTTAAAAAGCTTTTCTATTTTTAGCTCCTGTGACCTAGTTTTTGACCGGAGATGACCCATCTTCAAACTTGACTTAGATATCATCAAAACAACCTTCTTGACAAATTTCCAGAATATTTAGATAAAAACTGCAGCCACTAGAGTGTTAACAAGCTTTTTCTATTTTTAGCTTCTGTGACCTAGTTTTGACCGGAGATGACCCATCTTCGAACTTGACCTAGAAATTATCAAAACAACCTTCCTGACAAATTTCCAGAATGTTTGGATGAAATCTGCAACCATTAGAGTGTTAACAAGCTTTTTCTATTTTTAGCTCCTGTGACCTAGTTTTTGACCAGACATGACCCATCTTCAAATTCGACCTAGAAATCATAAAAACAACTTTCCTGACAAATTTCCAGAATATTTTAATCAAAATTGCAGTCACTAGAGTGTTAACGAGCTTTTTCTATTTTTAGCTCCTGTGACCTAGTTTTTGACCGGAGATAACCCATCTTCGAACTTAACCTACAAATCATCAAAACAACCTTCCTTACACATTTCCAAAATATTTGGATGAAAAGTGCAGCCCCTAGAGTGTAAACAAGCTTTTTATATGTTTAGCTCCTGTGACCTAGTTTTTGACCGGACATGACCCATCTTCAAACTTGACTTAGATATCATCAAAACAACATTCTTGACAAATTTCCAGAATATTTAGATGAAAACTGCAGCCACTACAGTGTTAACAAGCTTTTTCTTTTTTAGCTCCTGTGACCTAGTTTTTAACCGGAGATGACCCATCTTCGAACTTAACGTAGATATCATCAAAAAACCTCCCTGACAAATTTCCAGAATATTTGGATGGAAACTGCAGCCACTAGAGTGTTAACAAGCTTTTTCTATTTTTAGCTCCCGTGACTTAGTTTTTGACCGGAGATGACCCATCTCTGAAGGAAACTTAGATATCATTTGAACAACCTTCCTGACGAATTTCCAGAATATTGGGATCAAAACTGCAGCCCCTAGAGTGTTAACAAGCTTTTCTATTTTTAGCTCCTGTGACCTAGTTTTTGACCGGAGATGACCCATCTTCGATCTTGACCTAGATATTATCAAAACAACCTTCTTGACAAATTTCCAGAATATTTGGATGAAAACTGCAGCCACTAGAGTGTTAACAAGCTTTTTCTATTTTTAGCTCCTGTGACCTAGTTTTCGACCGGAGATGACCCATCTTCGAACTTGACCTAGATATCATCAAAACAACCTTCCTGACAAATTTCCAGAATATTTAGATTACAACTGCAGCCACTAGAGTGTATACAAGCTTTTTCTATTTTTAGCTCCTGTGACTTAGTTTTTGACCGGAAATGACCCATCTCTGAACGTAACTTAGATATCATCTAAAGAACCTTCCTGACAAATTTCCAGACTATTCGGATAAAAACTGCAGCCCCTAGAGTGTAAACAAGCTTTTTCTATTTTTAGCTCCTGTGACCTAGTTTTTGACCGGAGATGACCCGTCTTCGAACTTGACCTAGCTATCATCAAAACAACCTTTCTGACAAATTTCCATAATATTAAGATGAAAACTGCAGCCACTAGAGTGTTAACAAGCTTTTTCTATTTTTAGCTCACGTGACCTAGTTTTTGACCTAAGATGAGCCATCTTCAAACTTGAGCTATATATAATCTAAACAACCTTCCTGACAAATTTCCAGAATATTCGGATAAAAACTGCAGCCTCTAGAGTGTAAACAAGCTTTTTCTATTTTTAGCTCCTGTGACCTAGTTTTTGACCGGAGATGACCAATCTTCGAACTTGACCTATCTATCATCAAAACAACCTTTCTGACAAATTTCCATAATATTTGGATGAAAAGTGCAGCCACTAGAGTGTTAACAAGCTTTTTCTATGTTTAGCTCCCGTGACTTAGTTTTTAACCGGAGATGACCCATCTCTGAAGGTAACTTAGATATCATCTAAACAACCTTCCTGACGAATTTCCAGAATATTGGGATCAAAACTGCAGCCCCTATGGTGTTAACAAGCTTTTTCTATTTTTAGCTCCTGTGACCTAGTTTTTGACCGAAGATGACGCATCTTCGACCTTGACCTAGATATCATCAAAACAACCTTCCTGACAAATTTCCAGAATATTTGGATGAAAACTGCAGCCACTAGAGTGTTAACAAGCTTTTTCTATTTTTAGCTCCTGTGACCTAGTTTTTGACCGAAAATGACCCATCTTCGAACTTGTCCTAGATATCATCTATACAACCTTTCTGACAAATTTCCAGAATATTTTGATGAAAACTGCAGCCACTAGAGTGTTGACAAGCTTTTTCTATTTTTAGCTCATGTGGCCTAGTTTTTGACCTGAGATAACACATCTTCAAACTCGACCTAGATATCATCAAAACAACCTTCCTGACAAATTTCCAGAATATTTAGATGACAACTGCAGCCACTAGAGTGTAAAAAAGCTTTTTCTATTTTTAGCTCATGTGACCTAGTTTTCGACCGGAGATGACCCATCTTCAAACTTGACCTAGATATTATCAAAACAACCTTCCTGACAAATTTCCAGAATATTTGGATGGAAACTGCAGCCACTAGAGTGTTAACAAGCTTTTTCTATTTTTAGCTCCTGTGACTTAGTTTTTGACCGGAGATGACCCATCTCTGAACGTAACTTAGATATCATCTAAACAACCTTCCTGACAAATTTCCAGAATATTCGGATAAAAACTGAAGCCCCTAGAGTGTAAACATGCTTTTTCTATTTTTAGCTCCTGTGACCTAGTTTTTGACCGGAGATGACCCATCTTCGAACTTGACCTAGCTATCATCAAAACAACTTTCCTGACAAATATCCAGAATATTTAAATCAAAACTGCAGCCACTAGAGTGTAAACAAGCTTTTTCTATTTTTAGCTCCTGTGACCTAGTTTTTGACCTAAGATGACCCATCTTCGAACTTGATCCAGAAATCATCAAAACAACCTTTCTGACAAATTTCCAGAATATTTAAATCAATACTGCAGCCACTAGAGTGTTTACAAGCTTTTTCTATTTTTAGCTCCTGTGACCTAGTTTTTGACCGGAGATAACCCATCTTCAAAGTTGACCTAGAAATCATCAAAACAACCTTCCTGACAAAATTCCAGAATTTTTGGATGAAAACTGCAGCCCCTAATGTGTTAACAAGCTTTTCTATTTTTAGCTCCTGTGACCTAGTTTTTGACCGGAGATGACCCATCTTCAAACTTGACTTAGATATCATCAAAACAACCTTCTTGACAAATTTCCAGAATATTTTTATCAAAACTGCAGCCACTAGAGTGTTAACAAGCTTTTTCTATTTTTAGCTCTTGTGACCTAGTTTTTGACCTGAGATGACCCATCTTTGAACTTGACCTAGAAATCATCAAAACAACCTTCCTGACAAATTTCCAGAATGTTTGGATGAAAACTGCAACCATTAGAGTGTTAACAAGCTTTTTCCTTTTTTAGCTCCTGTGGCCTAGTTTTTGACCTGACATGACCCATCTTCGAACTTGACCTAGAAATCATCAAAACAACCTCTCTGACAAATTTCCAGAATATTTGAATCAAAACTGCAGCCACTAGAGTGTTAACACGCTTTTTCTAATTTTAGCTCCTGTGACCTTATTTTTGACCGGAGATGACCCATCTTCGAACTTGACCTAGAAATCAATAAAACAACCTTCCTGACAAATTTCCAAAATATTTGGATGAAAACTGCAGCCCCTAGAGTGTAAACAAGTTTTTTTATATTTTTAGCTCCTGTGACCTAGTTTTTGACCGCAGATGACCCATCTTCAAACTTGACTTAGATATCATCAAAACAACCTTCTTGACAAATTTCCAGAATATTTTTATCAAAACAGCAGCAACTAGAGTGTTAAAAAGCTTTTTCTATTTTTAGCTCCTGTGACCTAGTTTTTGACCTGAGATGACCCATCTTTGAACTTGACCTAGAAATCATCAAAACAACCTTCCTGACAAATTTCCAGAATGTTTGGATGAAAACTGCAACCATTAGAGTGTAAACAAGCTTTTTCTTTTTTTAGCTCCTGTGGCCTAGTTTTTGACCTGACATGACCCATCTTCGAACTTGACCTAGAAATCATTAAAACAACCTCTCTGACAAATTTCCAGAATATTTGAATCAAAACTGCAGCCACTAGAGTGTTAACACGCTTTTTCTATTTTTAGCTCCTGTGACCTAATTTTTGACCGGAGATGACCCATCTTCGAACTTGACCTAGAAATCATAAAAACAACCTTCCTGACAAATTTCCAAAATATTTGGATGAAAACTGCAGCCCCTAGAGTGTAAACAAGCTTTTTATATTTTTAGCTCCTGTGACCTAGTTTTTGGCCGGACATGACCCATCTTCAAACTTGACTTAGATATCATCAAAACATCATTCTTGACCAATTTCCAGAATATTTAGATGAAAACTGCAGCCACTAGAGTGTTAACAAGCTTTTTCTATTTTTAGCTCCTGTGACCTAGTTTTTGACCGGAGATGACCCATCTTCGAACTTAGCCTAGAAATCATCAAAACAATCTTCCTGACAAATTTCCAGAATATTTGGATGGAAATTGCAGCCACTAGAGTGTTAACAAGCTTTTTCTATTTTTAGCTCCTTTGACTTAGTTTTTGACCGGAGATGACTAATCTTCGAACTTGACCTAGATATCATCAAAACAACCTTCCTGACAAATTTCCAGAATATTTGGATGAAAACTGCAGCCACTAGAGTGTTAACAATCTTTTTCTATTTTTAGCATCTGTGACCTAGTGTTTGATTGGAGATGACCCATCTTCAAACTTGACCTAGATATTATTAAAACAACCTTCCTGGCAAATTTCCAGAATATTTGGATCAAAACTGCAGCCTCTAGAGTGTTAACAAGCTTTTTCTATTTTTAGCTCCTGTGACCTTGTTATTGACCCGAGATAACCCATCTTCGAACTCGGTCTGTATTTCATTGTGACAAACATTCTGACAAAGTTTGATGATGATCCAATCAAAACTGTGACTGCTAGACTGTTAACAACCAATTTGTTAGAGTGTTAACAAGCTTTTTCTATTTTTAGCTCCTGTGACTTAGTTTTTGACCGGATATGACCCATCTTCGAACTTGACCTAGATATCATTAAAACAACCTTCCTGACAAATTTCCAGAATATTTGGATGAAAACTGCAGGCTCTAGAGTGTTAACAAGCTTTTTCTATTTTTAGCTCCTGTGACCAAGTTTTTGACCCGAGATAACCCATCTTCGAACTCGATCTGTATTTCATTGAGACAAACATTCTGACAAAGTTTGATGATGATCCGATCAAAACTGTGACTGCTAGACTGTTAACAACCAAATTGTTAGAGTGTTAACAAGCTTTTTCTATTTTTAGCTCCTGTGACCTAGTTTTTGACCGGAGATGACCCATCTTCGAACTTGCACTAGATATCATTAAAACAACCTTCCTGACAAATTTCCAGAATATTTGGATGAAAATTGCAGCCTCTAGAGTGTTAACAAGCTTTTTCTATTTTTAGCTCCTGTAACCTAGTTTTTGACCCGAGATGACCCATCTTCGAACTCGATCTGTATTTTATTGAGACAAACATTATGACAAAGTTTGATGATGATCCAATCAAAACTGTGACTGCTAGACTGATAACAACCAAATTGTTGACGACACACGACGCATGACGACGGACGCCGGACATAGCCCCATCACTATACCTCACCTTGACCACTTCGTGGTCAGGTGAGCTAAAAAGACAGGACAAATTAGGAGTCACTATAGAGCCTGATGAAATGAAAAACGCATTAGGCAACAAGTCGACATTTTAAAAATCAGCTGTTTTTTATGTTAAGGCATTTAGTGTTTAACATTTAACTGAGCACTCATCTCAAAATATTTAAATATTTAAAACTACAACATCATTTAGAGAGAAAAAACTGGATTGCGCATCAAAACACAGAATAACCCCCTGTCTTTTCACCTAGATAGATCGACGTTCGCTAATTTAGATTTTATCATATTTTCAACTTATGTATAATAATGGCCAAAATAAAGTCTTAGTGACTTCATTGATATAGATTTCAAAGATCATTACCTGTGATTGAAATGTACACTCCAAATATACAACTTTTGAGAAGGAACCATCGCATCGAACACATCACGCAGTAGCTTAAGAACAAGAAATATTATATCAATATTGCTTTTGAAACAAAAATTGAATGCTTCAAATAAAAAAAACGTAACGGTTTTATGATCCGTTATGCAAAAGAAAAGCAATCATGTTTATCTTAAGAATTTTTTTAGAGTTATCTATATTCATGTAATAACATTTTACATATTATTTAATAAAACAATAATCAAATACATGTTATATATGCCTTTCAAAATTGATAATACTTAAAAGATTACTTACTTTTCTAAAACTAGAAAATTATAACTGTTTTTATTCTTATAATATTAATATCCAGTTACTTAGCTAAAAGACAGACGTCATAACTTAACACAGACTGTACACAAACACGATTGATAATCGATACACACTTTAAGTTAACTACCGTCATACATCGTAAAAATCTACTACAATTTACCCACATTCATAATAAAACACATGTAAAGGCGATTCGATAAATCTAAAACGTCAGCCCTGCCGGAACTTTAAAGAACATTTTATTTCAATTATTGAACCTATAAAAAACTTTATGCAGTCCACATTACCTTCAAAGATTTATATTCAAGCGACGACCTTAACAATAAAGATTATTGCATACGTTGGTCAGTCGTACGATAATTCAACTTCGGTTTTGGGGGTCTTATTGTTGTAAGGAATCTTAATATTTCGGTAAAATTTATTCTTTATATGCCTACATTTTTAGAGAGGTATAATTACTTAAAAGTTACCATTAGGTTTCTGTGATTTACTTTGATTCTGACAATTTAAGGACCACTTAAAACATACACATTCGATGCCAAATAAACTGACCAGCCAAAGAAATACAATGAATATCTCTTTTGATTTTTTAAAATTAACAGTGTAAACGACATTGTGACCAAACAACTTTGACCTACTTATTTATTGCTTTGCTGGAAGATCTATCATTATCTATTATTACTTGTATTCTTGTAATCAATTTGAATTTGTGTGGGAAAATTTGTCACCCAAGGTTAACGGGAAACTGAATAAATGGTACGTAAAATATTGTAGGGATAGTAGATGAAAAACACATATTGACTTTGTGTATATTTTCCTTAAATAGGGCGACAGTCTAAATTATCCAACGTGTGTTCGAATTCAAATCTCGACTTTTGGCGGGTCAAACATGAATTTATGAATTCAACATTATTCCTCTTGGAGGAATTTTATAGTTTCCATTGCTATTGGCATTATTCTGTTGAAACATAGTAATATTCGGATTCCTGTCATTAAGTGGGATAACGTGCCTCACAGAAATCTCGTCGTAGACCACCTCCGTGCAGACGATTGCGTTCTGTTTGTACATATATTCATTTATATGCACCAGCGGTGTTAGAAGTAGTGGCAGCTGAAAAGTTTGTTTAGGCATGTGTTCGTGGCATATTTACCTTTGTATCGCCATACCAGCATTAATCATTCAAATGGCAAGTTCATGAAAATTGAGTGGAATTCAACGCATAACAAAAAGAATGAAATCTTAATGAAATCGAGTTTATTCAATGTCTTTTTATTATAACTGGTAACTAAGTTTATAGTTTATACTGAAATTTAAGATTATAATGGTCCGAGCATGCACCAAAAATTGAGTTTAGATGTGTTTTAGTGTGTGTTTGTGTTTTTGTATAATTAAGTTATAAGTAGTTTTAATTTACACATAATCGTTCACCCGAACATATGTAGAGCAGTGGACAATTATTTATTTTCATCACAATAAAACAATATGTAAATATGAATAGAAAATTGTACAAATTTGATTAAACTGTACCTTCTCCCATAATCTTCAACGGTTTGCAGTAGATATAGATATCCGTTACATAGCGTCTGGACTGAGGCTAATAAATACTTTCAAAGATGCAGTATTGAACAAAAATTCAATTTATTTCGTTTATCTTTCATTAATTAAAATTCAGAACATAAGCATTGCAGCAAAATAAAATATGCTTATAATTAAAATATATCATATTAACATTTTTTTTATTATTTTTATTATTATGAAGAACATGATAATTTTGACACTACTCAAGATAAAAAGAAATTGGATTCAACAGATTAAGCTACACTCATAACAGACACACATACTTTGGAATGAAAACAAAACTGTTCTCTCAATTATACAAATATAACTTCTTAAGGAAGTGAATACCGGTGATTTCTAGATGATTATGGTATTTGATGATACACTTTGCGTACAGTATTGTCAGTTGTAACAGTGTACATATAGTGCTTATTGGATTAATGCGGACAAAGGTCCAGTACCTCATTTGTGGTTACTTTAAAATATAGATTTGTTAAGATGAAACCAAGTATTTAAAGTAATCATAATACTATCTTACTTAGAAAGGTTTGAAAAATTTTTTTTTTTTTTTTGGACTTAACTTCATGTTATCCTTGAATTTGATTTCATTTTAGTAATTTCGAGTTATCAGAACTTGAATTTTTAATTTTTCCTTAATTTTAAGTACATTGAGGATAGATAACTCACTATTAAGGTTAGCAATGGTTTTCTTTCTGCATTTATATATCAAAGTTCACTTCAAATGTAAATGTAAAATTTCAATAATTTCTAATGAGAAATCACTTTACTTTTTCTTTTGGTTATTTGATAACAGAAATATGCCACCATAATTATCCAATATTGATCTTCGATAGTTAAAGTTTTCTTTTCCCAGATAGCTACTGGCATGCGAGCAGTTCCCGTACAAAAATCATAGTTACTTAAACATTATTTTTTATTACGCGCACTCACCAAAATTTGAATGTTACACATCAATATTCGGCTCGTCACACAAATCATGGAAATCCCATTATGTTCTAAACATAGAATAACCCTTACTTATGAGGCCTGATATGGGGTACCGAAATTATCCATTATTTTGTATGAAGAGAAGTAGTTCCCGTACATAAAATCTAATCCATTATAATTATTCAATTTTATTATATCGGACCTATTTTTCATTTACAATTGTTGAACAGACCATTATCTAAGAGATAAATAGGTGTAATTCAGGAAATAGAGCGTAGACTAAACGCGGGTATCTATTACCCGGTACCGTTACCCCAACGCATTCACATGCAATAGCATGCTTGTATGCATGATATTTTACGCATCAAAGCCATAAATAACTGATCAATTATCATTTTATTAAAGGTGTATCATGTCAAAGCATAGTTCTAACTCCGACCAAGGCATACGTCGATATAAACGAGACCTTAACGTTAAACTGTACCTATATTGGCTACACAAATGTTAAAGGGACAAAGTGGTTTGTAAATAACCTGTATACACCATCTATAGTAAGACATGAAGATGGCATTTGTAGTGGTAGTGGAATCTTCGCTGATGACAACATTTACAGAGTTGGTTGTCCCTCTGATACATCTTTTACTGTAACTATATTACGTGTACAGCAAAAGGATCTTAATACCCAATGGCAATGTTTTGAGCGTAACAGAAGTAGCAATACTTTCAGAATATTAGTAAAAGGTGAGTTAATATACCTTTACGTTTTTACAATACAAAATATAATAATATATCAAAAACCATTGTGTAGGTCAATTTGACACTTGCATCATTGGCACCATTAAATGGTTAGGTGTACAATTTTAATTTGAAGATTTTACTTGAACAGTTTAAATATAACAACGTCAAGTGGGAATGTTCTGATCGACATTTGGACAGTTAATTTGTACTTTTATTAAGGGCATTGAATTGAAAAAGACGTGTGTATGATAATTGTAACTAAATTTTCTTAAGGAAATCCGTTTTTCTCCAAGTCTTAGTAGATGATTTTGTTATTGCTTTTCCTTTAAGAAACCGAGATTGCTATGTTCATTTGACTACATTTTGGTTTAAAATCTACATGATCATTTCAGTAATCTAGTTATTTCGTTTTCTGTAATAATGACAAATTGATAAAAAAATACTTAAGTAGGGATTCATTTCTTTAACCTTCTATCGTCATATGTTAGAACATATTTTAGAGATTAGATGTTCATGCACATACAACCCGTATTATCACCAAAGTAGTATTGTTGCTGTTGACAAATCATTGAAAAAGCCGCGTTATGTTCCTTTAAAAGTATGTCTGTTATTAATGATATACTCTTTGTTTCTTAACTTTTCAAAAAAGGTCATGAAATCAATTTTATGAATTAATGTTTTTATAACTTCACAAATGTAGCTTCAAAATCAACTTCAAGTATTATGTATGTTAAAATCGTAAATTTATGAATTTGAAATTGTAAATCCATGAAGATGAACCCGGTAATTCTAGAAGTTGAAATCTCACCGCCGGTCTTCGTTTTGATATTAAAGGTAACGCTGTATAACAAGTGCACATATCAAGGGTTGTCAGTAGGACAGAGAGCTTCACTATTAGTAGTGCTTGATATTAAATCAAGAATCTGGTTAATGAAGGAATTAACACAAAGGACGATTGAATTCAAAAGGCGTGGCATAATTTTGAGTCTTGGATAAGGACCAGAAAATTATAATGTTTTAGTTCAAATAGTTAAAGGGCATTTTTTTCAGTCAAATTCCATTTCAAAGTCTTGGGCCTTGTACAGTAACTCCTAGTTATAGTCACAAAGAGAAATACATATATTATAAGTTTCAAGTGGGTTCCTTTATTAATAGTGAAAATTGTTCGGGCAAGCAAAACTTAAACCCATGTGTCTTTTGTTCACAACGGATCATAATTCAGCCAATATTTATGCCAGATTTACGGACCCTGGAAGGCAACCTCGAATTATAATATCGAAAGTATGATATTTAAAAGTTCAGCACTTTCAGATATCGATCTTTCATGCACAACTTAAACCAGAAACTGTTTTAGTTCGCAAAAGGCCATTCTTCTGTAAATTCCATGCCAGTTTTATGGGTTTTGAACAGCTATCAACTTTTATGATTTCAAATATTTGTGAATTTCGAAGCAACTCTCCTCTCTTCAGCGGTTGATTAAATAAGATATTGTACATGACGTTAATGTTGTTCAAGAAGTTGTTAGTAAAACTTTCACCAAACTTAAGTCTAAACGCCGACGCTGACACCTAAGTGAGTAGGATAGCCCAACCAAGCTCTGTACATTAAGCACAAAATTTGTATGCCCTGTCAAAATAATTTTTTAGTAAATAAACGCTTGTTCCATCCCTTAAAAAGAAAAAAAAGCATTATTTTCACCATTTACAGAGCAAAGGAACAGATTTTGAAAATGATTGACAAATTAATTTCAAACAACAGACAGTGCAGTTGATAACAAATATACATTTGCTATGCATATTTGTTAGAAGATGAATCAAATCCGTAAATCAATTACAGTTAAGATCATTTAAGCGGAAAACAATTATTTGACCT